CCACATATTGCACAGCTGTGGGATCAAATTATGTTTGACACATTAGTGGGAATTACAGGTTTTCTTGATGTGAAACTGCATGACAAAGACAACTCAGAATCTTTTAGGTGTTCTGTCATCAACAGCGGTTTGCTGGTGTTTCCTGTTGAGTCAGATCCTTCTAGCTTTTCTGATGGGACATTCACATGAAGGGGAAGGAAGCAGAAGGATTTGCAGTGATTATGGCCATTTTAGGGGGAAAAAATTGAAAAAAACCCACCAGCTGGGGTTAACAGAATATTAAAAAACCCAAAACTTCCCAGCCTTCTGGCCTTGCAAACCTGATGCTGGGTTCACTTGAAACTGAGAAGCTAGGGTGATTTTTTGAGGGGCAAAAGTTGGTCCAAGATCTAGTATTAGGTGGTATTCACTTTAGGAAAAAAAAAAAGTTTTAGCTAACTCAACCCCAAACAGTAAGGTTCTCCAAAACCAGCATGAAGTTTTTGCTGGAGAAACATTACCTCTAAGCTTTCCCTTTAGAGCCCTTTCCAAAACCACACATGCAAAGTGCTGCCAAACAAGCAATGGTATTGAAGTCACCTGTATGGAAATACTGCCTTGTTCTGAGATCAGCTTCTGGTGTGGTTTAGTGCAGGTATGGCCCCAACTAAGAACTCTAACACAAGTGCCCCATTGACTAAGTATGTCCCCCATCCAACTGTATGCAAATGACTTTAGGTCAGAGGAGGAAAAATATTAAGTTTAGTTTTCATTCTTTTTAATCAGACTGCAAATTCTTTGGGTCAGGCCTGACTTGTTCTGCACTGGGTGGGCAGTACCTTGATCTAGGGAGACCCCAATCTCTTAGTCTCTATACTTGTTTCTAGCACAAGTAATCATTAATATTACTTCAATGTAAAAATTACATCTTTCTGAATTACTTAGCTTTTCAGAAACAGACAGGAACACCACTAGTTTATGTTTTGCTATGTTTGAAAGCATGCAATTAGACACGGATCTTACAAACATAAACAAACACTCCCATCCAACCTCCATGTTTCTAAAAAACCCCAGGTTTGTTTAGACAAGGGGTTGATAATCCAGTTTGAACACAGGTATCTGAATGCTGTGACAGCTTCTTCATAATGCTCAGCTTATGGTACATTAAACTTTAAAGCAAGATAAACTCCTGCTTTCATTTTATCAAACATCTACCCAGACAGCAAAAAGAAAGACACAAAGCAATGTTTGCAGCTACAGCCAAGCATGGGATATCCAACTCAGCATATGTTTGAAATGAAAATGAACAATATGTTGCATAGATACACTACTGTATTTTTCAATTGAGAATATCACTGGGATTTGTAAATGTTAAACTCATTCTTCCCTTAAGAGTTTGGTTTTATTTCACGCCTAAAAAAAGCCCCTGAGATTCACAGAGATTAGGCAAATAGAGACAGCAGTGCCTGCAATTGAGAAAGAAAGTGCTCTTAAAAGAAACTGCTCTGATAATCAGTTTGGGTGGAAGAAATCACAGGGGAGGACGCAGACAAGACATTTTTTAAGAGTGCTAAGTGTTTTTTAAGAGCGCCACTGGTATTACTGAACTTTGGTAGTTAGCCATATTATGCCTTTTTGTGGTCAATAAAGCAGCAACCTGCCTATCACAATAATAATGATGTAGCAACAGACATCTAAGAATCCATGATAAGAAATCTGCAAGAGACTTTTACCTATAGAGAACAAGTAGCAAGAATGAGGAGGGTAGCAGAAAACTAAATCCTTCAGGAATGGGGGATAGCAAAGAGGCTTGAGCAGCCTCTTAATTTAACAGATTACCAAAAAAACAACTATTCAAATCCAAACAGACTATGTACCAAAAAGCTTCATAGGTCTTTCTACTCCCAGTATTTCATCAACTACCTTACAAAGCCTCTCCTTAGAGCTGACTTAAGGTCATGTAAAAGACAAACACTGAAAGGTTATAGTTGCTTCCACTGATTTAAAATTGACACATTACACTACAAGGATCACCTTCATATCACACTGAGCACAACACATGAGAAATCAGAGATGTGCTATTACATGATTTGCTATAAAGAGTTATTATGTTCATCGTACCATAAAAAACAGCCTAAAAATTATCAAATCGTCCAAGTTTATAAGAATTGTATGGGGAAGATTCAAGTCTTTCTTTAGAGAACTTGTTTCTAAGACTTCTAAAGAAAGACGTGTATCTTCCCTATAAGTTAATTTTTATGCAGCTGCAACCTCTGCTCCCCTTCCCAATCAACCCTTTCTTCTCTCCCTCTTTCATATGACCTCACCATACCCAAAAACATGAAGAGATTGGTCTTATCACAGTTTAGCAAGATACCACCTGCCAGCTGAGCTGTGACAAATCCCAGCTGGCCTTACAATGCCCACACTCACAGGGACTGAGGCTGAGCTGATGGACAGCAGCTCAAGGCTGTGGTTTAAAGCACTGAGTACCCCCATCCACGAAAACTGTGCTAAAGGAAAGAGCTCAATAAGATGAGTGTTGCCATGACCACATTCCTATTCTAGTGTGCATTAGATCTTTTTACTCTCTCCTCTACCTGCAATTGCCTTCTGTTGAGCCTTGCTAAGCCTTTTACAGCCAACAAGGTGGACAAACTGCCTGTTCTTTGTACTCACACAACAGTTGCCACAACATGACCCCAGTCAATCATACGCTACTGCCACAACAAAATTTACAACAGCAAATATTCATTCCTCCCTTTCCCCTGGATTGCCCTTCTGAAGAGACACAATCTTGGAAGAAAAAGCTAAAAAAAGAATAATTCAGTAGTTATTAAAAAATTAGGATAAGGCTTATAAAGAAAACCTCAAAGGAACCTTAAGAGTTATTACTTTATTATTACTCCTGCCACACACAACACTCATGTTTTCTTAGCTCCTAGAAGAGCCAGATAATCAGGTATGCAACATGATTGCAATAAAAACATTTTCTAGAATTAGAGACCTGCATTTCTATTAGCAACCATTTCACACACTTAATGTTTAAATAATTCCTTGAACCCAAGGTTTCATGAATAAAGGAAGATGTGAGCATGCATTGAGTTTACCGAGTGTTTAAACACGCAGGTAGTATAAAAAATTTCAACAAAATAGATTCAAATTAGAAAGTTGACAAGTTTGAACAACTACCACACTTGCAGATGTGCTTCAAGACTTGAACCTTACAGGCTCAGGCACTGCACTTTACTGAGATAAACGGATGCAAACAGCTCAGTCCTTTGAAAGGCAAACCTACCAAAAGCCCGTAGCTTATTTCACTGCAAGCTTAATAATCACCAGCTTCCCATTGGAAGAGTGATCTATAGACACCTGAATTTAATAAGCTACTGAAAAATAAACTTGAATCTGTAGATCAACAAGACTGGTTAGTTGTAACCATTTACAAGTATAAAACACTTTTCCCATATAAAACTTCTTCTTGATGCTTTCACAGAACTCACCTTCAGCCAGGAAAGCAGACACACTGAATGGGGTGTCTCTACTGTTAGACAATTTCCCACCTCACTGCTAAGTTGAGCTTTTTGAAACTTTTATGGTCAGCCCTCAATTCTGCAATAACTGAGCACAGCCATGAGTCTGGTTTAACTCTGCAATTAGAGCTAGCTTTGTTAATGGCAAGACCAAATGTGCACTAAACCACCATGTCTTAACTTCAAGGGGAGGAACAGCCTTACCTAAACTGAACCACAAAATGGGGCCCTGGGCAAACACACACCAGACAGTGCCTGAGATTTACAAGGAGCAGTTCCGGGTCTTTGGAGATCTCGGCACATCCGGACATGAGCTATGGGGAAGTATCAGGCAATTTCAAATGATTCACAAGTGGCCAGACCTCACCAGCTGATCTGCTGCTTTTCTGAACTGTGGATGTGCCTCTGTCCCCCTTGAGCTCCCAGAGATGTCACAGGTCTGCAGCTAAACAGCATGGTCTTAATGATCTAGAGCCACTGTTCTTTTTCCCAGTGAAATTCAGAGGAGGTAGGACTTGGATGTTTGCAATTATTTGGGCAGATCTCGTTGAGAAAGCAGGCTCACCCACCTATTTGACACAGCAACACATGTCAGATATAGACATGACTCTTTTTAGTCTCTCTAGACCCTCCCTGAACACAGAAGGAAGTTGAACAAAGCTCAACAGGGTGAAACAATGACAAAATGTATGCAAAGAGATCTGTCATTTACATTGCTACAACAGTCGTGCTAAACTCATGGTGCCATCACTATTCTCTTCCTGATTAGCTTTGGATTTTTGGTGGATTTTTTTTTTCAACAACAGTCCCTGAAACCTTTTCTTGAACACTCATACAATTGAGAAAAACCCCATTATTTTACTGCAAGGCAGAATTTAAAGATAAATGCAAGGGAAAAGTCAGAAAAACACTCCCAGTTCAGCTAATATAATTTCTGAAAGAAATTGTCAGAACAGGGGGGAGGTTGTTTTGTTTTTTTTTCATTTCAGCACAGGTCACTGCATTGCCTACTGTGCTAACCATTACAGCTGCTGTTATTCTGATTTGTGTCTACTAGTCAGCGTGGAAAGAACAAGAGAGGAAATTCAAGCAGCAGTTTGAGTGTCTGTACACTTAAGCCAAAAAACAAGTGTGTGCAGCACAGTAGAGAGAAGAGGTCCAACAAGTATTTGGTTTCTTTTTGACGCGGACCAATGCTCCTGCTGCCCAAAGAAATTATTAAAAAACCAACAAATAAGTTCTTAACTTAGAAGATAATTTTTGTTAGCAGTTAGTAAAGCACTTACAAGACAATATTGCAAGGAGAGAATTCTCTAAAAGCACAGTGAGTTTTGTGAGTATTTATTGCACTCTCTGCTTCCAAACCAACTCCCCCTCCACTTCCCTCCTAGGAACCTTCCAGTTTCCCCTCATGGATAAGAGCGTACAGATGCTGGGTTTCAGCAGGTTTGTGCCTGATGTGTAACCCATGTCACTGCTCTCACTCACCAATACAGCAGGACCAGCAGGACTGCCAGCAGTGCCAGGGTGGCTGTGGTACTGTTCATTCCTGGGGAGACAAGTGCCAGAAGATCTGCAGGCTCCATTTTCCTCCACTACAGTTGCAGCCTTGGGTGCTGTGCGCAGGGGAAAGCCTCCACAAGGGCTGATAAAGCCTTCCACAGCTAAAGGAATGACATCTGCAACAAAACAGGAACTGAGAGAGCAAAAACATGTCATCACAAACGGCAAACCTTCCCTCTTCTCACCGACTGCACACTCAGACAGACCTCGAAGGTTCCCTGAATGGCAGAATGTAGCAATTTCCCCCCTCCCACTGTTGTTGACTGTCATGCTAGTAAATATTTACATACCCACTGCTTGAGACATCAGCGTTACTGAATGGGTTTTTTGACCTAAAGTTTGGGAATCTGGGAAATGTGTGGGGAAAATAAATGGGGAAGACAACCTGACCATGTTACAGATCATGGAAGAAAAATATAAAGTTTTTCAGGGATGTCCTGACATACAAACAGTGGAGTTCTCTAAAGTAACTAAAATAGAACATTTTTGCAATATGAAACTTCATTAGCACCTAATTTCAATGCTGGTTATGCCTTGTAAGAATGGAACAAAGTAAACTTCAAATTACCACAACTAAAAGGAGTAATTAGAGGAAAGCTGGTCTAATGTGACTTCTAGAATGCACATAAAGAAAGACCAAATGAGCAGAAAACCTCAATTTTTTTGGGGTAGTACCAGATCCATAAGTCAGCATCTGTCACACTGGTGAATCCACACAGACAGCACTTGTTTGGCTGTATCATCTCAGCTCCATGAGGGCTACAGTAAATTTCCCTGGCTCAGTGCACTGCCCCCCTCAGAGGTACCACTAACCAGTCTCTCCAGAGATACTTTGGCTACCCCTACAAATAGCTGTATTTCTAGTATCAGGTTTGACACCAATATGGTCAAATCTACTATCTCTGCACTGTGGCACAGTGAGGTTGCCACAGCCCCATGAACAACTGCACACAACCACCAAGTTTTCGCTGCAGTTCTGGAAATGGTTAGTTCTCTGTATATTAATTCTTCAGCTTTCTTCCATATTTTCCTGCCTGCAAACCTCAAGCCTGTTTTAAGCATCTGATCCAGTCCAACTAGAAAGGTAAACCAAAGAACACATCCTTGAAGCACTTCTACGGGAGAAGTCCAGCAACTGGCTATACACTCAAGTAACCAAATTCCATGAGCAAAATGATCTTCAGGACAACAACATCAGAAGCAGCAGCTTGCATGTAAACACCTCAGCCCATGACAAAATTCCCTGAACTGTCCAGTATTGTTTGTTACTTATGAAACTATAAATTCTCATATATGTGCTTTGGAGTTTCCATCCATCCTAAAAAAACCATTTGAAAGATAAGAAAATCGATGCTACACAAAAATTTGGTTTGTGAATCATATGGTAACCTTAAGAACCAGAAATTCTGTAAAATCTGATTCTCCTAACACACCTGATGAAGAGTGGTTTCTTCTCTGACTACCCCAAGACAATAGCTTAGATTTAATGTGCAAGGCTTCTCCAATATCACTGTATTACACTTCCTGCTTTTATCAGAGAAGTTAATAATATAGGTATCAAAAAAGTAAAGTCTTTAACACAATGGAGTTTAATTTTAAGAAGATTTGGCTCTACTCTAAGTGAATCACTGCTATTTTGGTTCTTCATGCTTCACAACTGCATTAATTCCCTTCCAGCCTGAGATCCTTACAGAATAAGTAGAAGGTGTTAACCAGCTCATCAGCTCCACAGAATAGGGAGGAAGCTCACAGAAAACCTTGCTGCAGGTATTAACAACTCCACTGCTATTCTAGGTCAATAACAGCTCTGCTGGTTTGCTGCTGCTGCTGCTGGAAAGTTCTGCAAGAACAACTCCAACAAGATTTAACACCAGTGACACAAGGAATTAATCAGTGGGTACAAGCTAATCCCAATAACAAGCAATCCTGTGGGACTTTCAGAAAAAGAAAAAAAAAATCAAACATTGATATGCATCAAAGTCTTTTCTAAAAGACTTTTCTTCTTTTCTTCTCTTCTTTCTTTTCCAAAAGATTTGTCTTTTCTTCTACCATAAGGGAAGAAGGCAAGAAATAATATTCCAATTTTACTTTATTTGGCTTTTTAATAAAAGACATTTTTCTGCCCATAGAGGACAGATGTTCTCTTATTAAAATCAACTGCACGACTCCTGTCAGCACACTCAGGTCAAGTAGAAATCTCACTTGTTTTTTAAGGAGCACTGGAGTCTTTTCCCAGTCACACTGAGAGACAGGAGGTATGAATAGTTCTTAAACACATGCCTATGAAAGAAAATAGTGTCTCACATCAGAATCCAGTTTGGAATGGAATCTCACATCAGAAAGAAAATAGGGTCTCACATCAGAATCCAGTTTGGAAAAGAACACATAATTAACCTATCTTTTTTTTTTTTTTTTTTGCTTTTCTTTTCATCCTTTTCTGCTGTTGATGGTGAGGTTTGTTTTGTTTCACTTTTTAAGCCTCATCACCTTGCTGAAGGATTTTAACTTGGCACCTCTGACCGTTAAGAAGAGTGGCAAGCATTGACTCTAAAACCCACCTGGAGCGCTTCTCATCACAGACAGAGGCACGTACAGTTATCGTCTTGGAGCTAGGGAGCTCAGCTCTGTGAAGAATCACATAAATCCACATGATACTTGTGGGGGGGAAAGCAGTCAGGGATGCAGAGAGCAATGAAAACAAGCTAATTATCAATCCTGAGAATTCTCTTTACAAGTTTTTTTACGTGAGAAATGTCACCCTAATTAAGACTCAACAGCACAGATATTTTGCACCAACCTCCAAGTCCCTTTGCGGAGTCACGGTGGGCAGCACGGTGACAGTATCAAGGAACTAGAGACACAGACACAAAGTCCCCTCTGCCCGCAGGCTGGAGGAAGCCAGAGACCAGCAGCAGAGAGCCTTTTCCTGTCAGAGTGCTTTGCGTCAGCAGAGAGCCTGCGTTTGCATCCACCAAGGCTTGCAGCTCCCTGACACGGTGCCGTCCACGCTCTTCCCTTCCGTGGCGATTACATCCCACGGGTCACCACCTGGTTCATCACAGACAGATGTGGATACAAGCTGCACTGGAGGGACCCATCTCAGCCTCCATTCCCCGCCACGCAGTGCCTGGGAGCTGCCCAGCAAACACAGCAGGAGTTTGGTGCTGAGCAGCCCGGGCTGCAGCCTGCACACACACCCACAGCAGCAGCAGCTATTAAACAGGGCAGTGCACAACAGCATTCAGAGTCTGAGAGGCTGAATTGTTCCTCAGCTGAAAAAGAACAAAAACCTGGCACCCAGACAACGCAGGTTTTACAGGAAGCCTCTGTGCCTTACAGCCCTGAGTCCTGTAATATTTTCTGTAAATGCTCTTCCAAAACAACGCATTTCAACTTTTAAAGGAATACATCAGTGGCTGTGGCCTCAGCAATGCTTGACATGCACAAGTGTTGTTCCAACATGAAGTACAGAGTTTATTAAAAAGCAGGATTATAGACCTTCCCTAAATCATGTTAAGGATTTTGACCTGTCTTCAAAGCATATCAAATGGAAAGCATAGTCTCATCTTTCAGGAGCTACTGACTACACCAGCTAGACAAACCACATACTCCTGCTAATGACCAAATTCAATTCCTCTTCTGCTATTCTACCTCATATATTTTAGGTCTATAATAATCTAATTAAGGCTGAGCCACACCAGCTTTATGATAGATGAAGGAAGTCCAGGAAGATGTTACATTTTAATTTTATAGCAGTTTGTGTCTATAGAAATTTATAGCACAGTCTTCAGATCAACAAAATTCTGCTACAGACAGCTTAGCCACAAAATACTGCAGACAAAATACCACAGAACAGCTTAAAAAAGAGATTAATCAGGGACTAGTTTATGTATAAGCTTTAACAAAGCCCATGTAACAAAATGTGTAAGTATATATGATGATAATTTATCTTAAAGCAAAAACCTTCCCAGAGCCAAAATGAATTCTCAATGTCTTGAATGTAGACCAACAAAAAAAATTCTAGAGGCATATTTCACAGAGGTTTTCTTTTTTTTCTTAAATTCAAAACAACCTTAATATCCAAAGTACTGGCAATAATAATGTATTGGAATAGAGGGATTTACAATGGCCATCTGTGACTTAATTATTGCTATCCCTGTTCAAGGATTGATTAAGCAGTTCAATCAGATGATTCTGTACTCCTGCATGATAAACTATGACAAACTACCCAAGAGACAGACCACCAAGGCATCAGAGCCTCCTAATAAACATCCTGCTCTACATTCAGGACAGAAAGGGGCACCAAAAGGGTTCTATGAGCTCGTGGCAGATTCTTGAGTCACCTTGAATAAAGTCACTGCAGTAAAGTGGATCTCAAAGGGCAAACACAGTGACTGTAAAACCCCACTGAGGAGCCACTTTGATGACACTTCCAACTGAGCCCCAGAAAGACACACTTTTGCACTTAAATTGTTTTGCCAAGTCAGAACCTGGTTATATTAACCTAAATGCTTCTCAGCAAACAGGCATGCAGTTTAAAATTTTAGGAAAGCTAAAATATTATGCAAACTTGTACTTCACTAACAAATTTAATCTCTAGCTGCCTAAAAGTTATGGTACTTCAAACACAGTCAGTATCTTAGAGTCCAAAAAACTCATTATGCTAACTAAATGTAGTGCCACTGTACTAAGTCCCCTCTAAAGCAACAAGCTGTGAGATATCCTAGTTATTTCAAAGAACTCCTCTTAGAAATAGCACAGATTCTTTGGTCAAAAGGAATGACAGCTTCTTCCTCTTGCTGTGAGAGTTTGGAATGAGTTTCTAAAATAAAGTTACCTTTGCTAATAGTGGCATTAAGATCTTGCAGCCCCTGTGAAATTCCAGAGAAAGCAGAAATTAGTGTAACATCTGCTGTCCGTCACCAGGCATTTCTAAGCAAATTGACTTTATTAAATAATTGGTAACTTGTTTATATTTCTATAGCTTGCTTTAGAAACATTGATTGATTCAAGCAATCCTGTAATTTCATTGTCCTATAAACTTGACTGGAGATAAATATGGATTTATGTTCACAGATCAATAGCTCCACATTCACAGCAAAAGCCAAAAAAACCTGCTAGACTATTCTTGTAGTTGCAGAGAGACATATAAATGTTTGCAAAAACATTATGGTAAGAGCTGTTAAGTTTTAATTTTTTTTTTCTGAAGTTTGGTTTTTAAACACTATGAAAAACGCCTAACCTTCTCTGTCTAATTGAAAAGCTACTCTAGATGACAAATTCCAGGCTTGAATTCTCCAAATTATGTTTTGGTGCTGGATTACAGGTCAAAAGAACTGTGAAAAACTTAACAGAAATACCTTGTTCTATAACTTAATTAAACAAACTTATAGACTAACACAATGCATTTATCAGTATCCTGTCAAAATCCAAAATGACAAATGGGAAATGCGCCAAAAGTCTCAAAAACGTTGAACCTCAGACAAGGTATAAAGAGCTATTCTTCACCTGAGGACTACCACTGGTTTTTTTTTAGTATCTCATACTCCCAGAAGAAACTCCACAGATGTGAATGGAGAATGTGCCCATGGGCTGTGGCCTTCAGCCTGACAAGAATATTGGAATTCTTCCAACCTGGGAACTGTGGGCAGTATCAGCTGTCCCTTTATGCCTTATCTCTGTCTAAAACCAGAGGGTTTGGATGCAATTGTCCCTCTGAGGTGAATAAAAGAGCAAAAAGAGGGAGCAAATGAATGTTCAATGTATTAGGTGATACAAACATGCCAAAACCAGAGCAGGTACCACATCTCACAGCTGCCACTAGTCTCTGCACACAAGAGGCAGCAACCTGGCAAAAAGCAAAAGAAAGGTGGCAATGAAGCAAGTCAGACTAATGCTATTGCCACAGGAATGGTTCTCACACCTCAAAAAGCTCAGAAACTCTTAGCTTGCATCCACATGTAGAAATGCAACCTGACTGCAAAGAAACACAAACTGGCAGCAAAAATAATCACTGAGGTCCAGTTCTTCAGCAATTCTTTAATGGCATCCACAGATGCAGAAAGATCCCTTCACAGGACATTCTCCTGGAGATCACCATGGGCAGGGTTTGGTGATGATGCTCTGACTCCTGCAGATGTGGCAGGGGAAGCTTTTGCCCTGTTGCCATTCTTGCCTTCTAAATTGTTCCCCATGACAGATATTTCCAAATGACAATAACTGCACTGTGAACAACCATGATGAATATTCTGAGATGGCAGTAAGAGCACAAAATGTGTGGGGCACTGGAACACACAAAGCTGGGACTGGAAGACACTTTGAACCTTCACACCATGGGGCAAACCTAGGGACAATATAAAGCACCTTGAAATGCCTTATTTTCACTCTTGCCCCTATACAGAGTGTATCTGCTGCCTAAATGTATGCATCACATCATGAATAATTCTTGGTAGATCGTGCCAAATATTCCCAAAGGCTTCTTACCCCTCTGAAAGGGAGCACAGATAACTCATGTGCAAATTGCAGCCCTTTGTACGTGGCCTAGAAGCACATGGAATATATGGGCAGCTCCACTCTGGTTCAGCCCTTTGTGCTTTCCCACTGCAGACTTTCCTTCTGACCACTTGTACACTAATTCACCAAATCAGAAATCCCTTCAGCTTCATTCTCAGCAGATATGCTGAAACACAGACATGCAAAACTGGCGAGAGGAGAAGAAAAAAAGTAAAATAAATAAAATTATGCAATCAAAAAACCAGCACTTCCCAACCTCAAGCTCTTTCTGAACTCTTGGTTTAGCTGAGTTTTTTTCTACAGTGCTGGTTGTTCATTTGTGCAATTGTGATAAATACAGGTTTTACTGGGGGCAAGGACTGTCAAGCTCCAAGCAATGAAAAAAGTGCTCAGAAGCTGTGAAACCCAAAGGATCAGGGCTAAAATACTAATTAAACTAATTTCAATTGCTCAATTTAAAAATTGCATGTTTTTCCTGCAGTCTCATGGATCTGAGAGTAAATCTGTGATTTTGGAATGCTTGAGGCTAGCAACACTTACAAAAGGGCATGAACCCAATAAGCTGACCTATTAGCCAAGGGAATAAAGGTTAAGTGGAAGACTAAATAACCTGATGTTATGAGTTGAAACAGCAAGAAAAACTTGGTCTCAACGAGATTTCAATCCTGCTGACACTCCTTTTAACTTCATCTCTCAAAATGTGCTGTAGTTGGTATCTGAACCTAAAGTTTGCAGTGTTCAGCCTCCTTCCTACCTTCTGATGCCTTCCACCACATGGCAGATAAGCCCAGCATCATATTGGAGCTGGGCTAGTACAAAAAAGAAATATATTTCCTTCTCAGGGTATGGGGAACTTTCTCCTCAGGTCTGCGTATGGCAGCTCAACCTAACTAGAAATTCCCAGTGACACAGGGAGGTTGTGGTGAGCTGTAATTCAGAGGGGGCCCCCAAAATTGCATGAGTATTTTAAGAGTGTAGCAAAGAATTTTTGGAAGTCTGGTGCAGGTAGATTCTCTCTGCCCTCGTGTGATGCACTCAGCTCTGTGGATGGAGAGCACCAACTCCAAACATAAAATACTGTTTTTTCTCTCAGTATGTAACTCCAGTGAACCTTATTGGAGCACTGAGGGTACACTGAGAAGATTACACTCCTAAATGGGCAGTTACAGCTGTACTGCAAATGCAACATTACACGCTTTCTATTATGGTTCAGGACCACTCCACTCGTCAATACTGTTATAAACCTCAGAAAACAAGGGTTTATAATGGAAATGCTGAAACACACAACTCTAAAAACCCTGGCAGAGAGGAAATATAGCCATAAATTCAGCTTTTCTTTTCCAGCATACACATTGGCAAGTTATGAATAATAGGTATTTCTACACTCACAACAGACAGACGCACACACTGCTCAGGGTAACCTTTGCTGTAAAGGTGGAGGATAGAAAGAGCTCAGAGTGGAAAGAGCAACCCTTCATCTTGTGTTTTACAGAGTTACTGCAATGATGGCATAAACCCAGCAATTGAAATTTAGTGCCCTATGCACCAGCCCTGAATTTCGAATGCACTTGTTTTAGACAGGGTGTGTTATGTTTCTCTGGTCAGCAAGAAAAAGACATGAGCCCCCTCAAACCCCCTCAGCCTTCTTTGTTTTTAAAAAAGACTTGGCTGTTAGGATGCTGTTTAAATGACATTGCAAAACAGCTTGCTATCCATTCAAAAACAGATACTCTATATATATTCTTTTCTGTATATATTCTGGTCCCTATCTTCTTAACACTACCAAGAAGCAAAATTTGCTTGTAATTACTGAATTTGTTACTGTCAAAACCCCTGCTCTGTTTGGCAAGAAAAAGATGGGCAGGCAACTGTACTACCACTGAGGCATTTGGGGATTTCTTCAGATATTAACAGCAACAGCAGAGGTGGGTCAATACAATCCCATTGGCCATATCATGCTCTGTGATTTCTGATGTGTATGAGCAAAGGAAAACTAAACCAACACAACTGCCGTTGGGGAGGAGTGCTGATGTTGGCTCAACAGGGAAATCCATGCCTGATTTAAACACTGCAGCCTGGCTGCCAGGTGGGGAAAGGCAGAGCAGGGAATTCCATGTGTGACCGTGTTCACAGGGGTCACAGGTTGAGGGAAGAGACGACGATTTGACTTTATGTTTCAGAAGGCTTGATTTATTATATTATGATATATATTACATTAAAACTATACTAAAAGAAGAGAAGAAAAGATTTCCTCAGAAGGCTAGCTAAGAATAGAATAAGAAGGAATGATAACAAAGGTTTGTGACTCGGGCTCTCTGTCCAAGCCAGCTGACTGTGATTGGTCATAAATTACAAACATCCAACATGGACCAATCACAGATGCACCTGTTGCATTCCACAGCAGCAGACAATCATTGTTTACATTTTGTTCCTGAGGCCTCTCAGCTTCTCAGGAGGAAAAATCCTAAGGAAAGGATTTTTCATAAAAGATGTCTGTGACAATCAGCAGTGCCACTAATTAGTGGTGGTCCATGAGGGACACGAAAAGCTTCACCTACAAAGCAGTCCATGAGACCTCTCCATTACAAAATAGAATTTTTAAGAATTTCTAGCATTAAGAATACTAGAATTTTTTAGGTAATGGATTAATTGGTAGAAGGTTTAGAACTTCTTACCAACACCTCTAACACTAGCTCCATCATCCCCATTTCAGATCTGAGGGCATTGCATTTAACCTTTCTGCGTGTTTGATTCATGAAGGACACCAGCTCTTCAGCTTTCTGCATGACAGCAGCCCTGATGCCACGGTGTGCAAATCCCACACACCCAAATCTACATCTCTCACTCACCCAGAGCTGCCAAGCCTCTCAACAGGGAGGGAATTGCCTCCTTGTCCAGACCTGTTCAGTTCAGCATTTGGCAAATTCTGCAGAAACCAGGAGCAAAGCCACTTTATTGCCATTAAAAGGGCAACACAATTCCCAGCAGAACTGAGAACTGCCTTTCACAGCTTCTCTCGGGTGCACCTTTACTAGGAGGGTCTCCTGTCTTCACTTTCACCTTTTTTGTTTAAATAGGGTCATGCACCAGTAGCCTTAGCTAAAATCTCCCACTCTGCTCCCACAATTTTCAGCCTTCTGCTTCACCCCAGCAGCAACAGCTGAGAACCAGGAGAGATGCTTACAACAAATCTATGGTCTTCAGAATAATAAGCAAATTATTAGCAGGAAAGGACCACAGGGGTATAATTGTGCCATTGAACCAAGTCTCCACACACAGGGCATTACTATCTCACGTACACTTAGCCCTGGGAAGTCTGCAATGTGTCCTTTTGCCAGGTATTTACCACAAGTTTACACTCAGGTGTAAGAAAAAGGACCAACAGCAAGGCTGGAATGGTTTCCCAGGTGCCTGCTTGCCAAAGATGGTCACTGCCAAAATGCTCAGAAGTGTTTTACCTTACCCAAGAAGCACACAAAACCATTTCCACTTTCTCTGCCACCTGACCACTGCTCTGTTTTATTAAGCAGCAGGGTAAACCAGAAGCATTTCCAAGGATTTTCACTGTAGTGGTCTTGAAAGCCTGAAACTTTGAGTTGCCTCAACTGAGTTGAACAAACAGCAGATACACTGGAAAAAGGAAATTTACACAGGCAGAGTCTATTGCAGCCACACACGCAAAACGTGTACTTGTCAATTTCTCTCTACTAAGACCTTGAAACTCAACTTAAAAGAAAAAAAAACAACACTTAAAAAGCAAGCTTAAATTCAGCAAAAAGTTGGATGCTCTAAGACCCTTACTCACTAGAGAAAGATCTGCAGCCTCTCTGAGGGAGTGGGATTCCTACCCTCACTTTTTCTAGGACTGAATGATTATTTATCCCACTAAGCTTTCCCTGAAGGGGCCAACACATCTAACCATGGCTGAGGGGGAGAATGGCACCTCTGCCCGGCCCCACACGCTGACTCTGCCGCCAGCCAAGCCCAACTCCGAAGCCTTTGCCCAAGGATGCGCCACAGGCACGGCCCGGCAAAGCTCCCCAGCCAAAACCACGGGGCAAGGAGGATTCCCACATAAAATCCCAGGAGATCCTTACCTTCGGAGGTGTCCCGTGCCTCCTGCAGCGGTTCCTGGTTGGGATGCCAGCCGCAGCTGCCCGGCAGCAGCCTGAGGGCAGCAGCGGGGCGCGGAGCCATCGCCGCCTCCTCACAACCCACAGGTGCTGGGACAGCTGCCAGGTAGGGCCGTGGGACTACAACTCCCAGCAGCCCCCGCGCCTCCCTGCTTGGTCCCCCGTGGCTGCTCCCCGCCATGCCCTCTGGGGGATGTAGTTCCACCACCACCCCCAGCCCTCCCGGCTCACACGCTTCCCCTGGGAAAGGAGGATTTGCGTGGCTGCAAAGGAAGCTAACACTCTGAGACCCTTAATATGTTTCTTTTTTTAAAAGTCTATGCGTGTATGTCTGCAGGACAAATGAAAAAAAAGGCGCTAAAGTCAGCAAAATTTATATCTCCAGCAAGGGGGAAAATGGGAACTTACTGTACTTCCAATTGTCTTTCTGCTTCTGGTGGGGATTCTTTGGTTTGCTGTGAAAGGAGAAGAGAAAAAGTGAAAAATAAAAGCTCATAAGCAAGTATTGCCAAGTAGCTTTGCAAAATCAGATGGAAAAAACTCAAATGTTCCCATACACTAATTAGTTAATGACTGGCCTCCAGCCTGCAAACGTGCTGATACTTAACTGTATCCTCCACTCAAGTGAATGCAATTGAATCTCATACTCCAGTTGTTCCAGAAACTCAAGGCCTCTAGAAATTTTAAGCATGGCTTAGTAATGCTGAGATTTTAAAAGTTATTAAGGGCTTATCCACGTTGGGAGTTGCTGCAGAGTAGCTTCTCTTGCATAACTCCCCTTCCCTGTGCTGGACATGAATTTCACACTAACACTGCTTTATTCTGAATTAGTTTGCCCCATTCAGGCTTTCACAAGCTACCTTTGCCCAGATTGATGGACTCATGCAAGGTGAGCCTAAACTATGTGTTCTGTTGGGTTATTTTTTTGGGTTTTTTTTTTTTTTTTCAAGCATTCATTTAGGCATTTGTTCCCAAAAGCTAGGCATTTCTTTTGAAAACTAGACATGAAGTTTCTCACACAGTCACTGCTGCCCTGAATTTGGGAGATCAATAGGATCGCTAAATGCCATGAGACTCACAAAAAACCCCTTTGGGAGCATGGCCCTGTTTGCCTAACTCTGAATGTTTGTTTTTCTAACACAAGGCTGTGCAAATGAGAGAAAGTTCCCCTTTCAGAGTAAAATCTGCTCTTAGTAATTAGTCCTTGTGGGCAGCAAGTTTTACTTCACAGAGAGAAAAAAAATCATAATCTGTCCAGAATATAGCAAAAGCTTTACATTTTTTCCCTATTTTTATTAATTGCATATGCATAAAAATATCAACAATGTTAATGTACAATGAGCCAGAGAATTTCTGCCAAGACCAGTATTACACCCATGGATATATCAACAGGTCACTTTTACTTGAGGTGAAGAAGAGAAGGAAAGGTCCAAAGTAACAGGAAATAATAAAACATGAGTGATGCAGGAGGTTTTAGTGTACAGAGAGGTGCCAGGGCCATCTCTGTGCAGTTGCAGGGCAAAGTTTCTAAATGAAGAAGACTTCCCAGCTGAGGAGCACAGGATGCAGAGGCAGAGACTGAGCCCTGCCAGAGCTGCACAGGACCCACACTGCTCCCCGACTTCCAGCTCTGACAAGCTCTGCATGGAACTGAAGGGAAGCTGCAGGATTTCTGCACCAAATCAATCCATTGGATGGCTTCTGGGTTCCATCTGTCCCAGGGAACTGTGCAGCTGCTTTGCAAGGCACCACAGCTCATCTTGTACTTCCAGAGCAAATTGGCAGCACCTGAATAGCACACTCGAGCCATAACCCGGATAAGCCTTCCAGGATGATTGAGATTCTACAGTATGTGACTTTTTATAGTAAATTTTTATAGACTTGCTAGAAAAATGTGAGTTTTGACCTAGCACTTTTCATTCCAAGAGTTCTGAATGATCTATTTTAATACAGGTTTAGAAAAAAAAAAAAAAAAAAAAAAAAGCATGTTCTTTTGACTTCAAGTTCAATTGATAGAAGATTTATTAATCACCATCATGCATATTTATATCAGAATGCCTGTCTTAAAGCAGATACATTGAAAGGCTGGAATGGATTGTTTCCCAAAATCTTGTGACATTAAGAGTGGAGTTATGTTTGCTTTCCTTTTTTGTTTTGAACTCTCTAGCACTTGTTTGACTGAGACAATCTCTCTTATTAAAAATGAGGTGTAAGATAACTACTTTTGTAAATGCACAGGGTTATTACTTATTCCAACAGGTATTTTGCTCATTTCTGACTTGCATAACTACAAACAACATGAATAAGTCTATTGAAACTGCTAAGGTCCATCTAATGCTTTCATTTTCCTGCTTCCCAAAACAACAATGCTCTCAGTCATCTATTATTTGCAAGAACTCACAGATAATATCAGAATAAAGAGGAAGCATGGATAATACAGCACAAGACCCTCCTATTGTTTCACTGGAATAGGGAAATCCACTGGAGACTGAAATTTCTGTAAACACTGGTCTGATGCTGGCTGCCCTCCTTCCCTCCCTGAGGAGCTGACTGCTGTGGGGAAGCTCAGCCCACCCCATTCACCTGATTGCTGTAACCCAGAGCTGAAAGACCTGCCAGATGTAAGGACCACAGCAGGATGAACACAGTTCTTCTCACCTGCAGAAAAGAGATGCAAATTCCAGGTGCAGATTGTCGCAGACATCTTTTATGAAAAATCCTTTCCTTAGGATTTTTCCTCCTGAGAAGCTGAGAAGCCTCAAGAACAAAATGTAAACAATTATTATCTGCTGCTGTGGAATGCAACAGGTGGATCTGTGATTAGCCCATGTTGTTGTTTCTAATTAATGGCCAATCATAGCCCAGCTGGCTCGGACAAAGAGTCCAAGACACAAGCCTTTGTTATCATTCCTTCTTTTTCTATTCTTAGCTTAGCTAGCCTTCTGAGGAAATCTGTTCTTCTATTCTTTTAGTATAGTTTTAATGTAATATATATAATAAAATAATAAATCAAGCCTTCTGAAACATGGAGTCAGATACTCATCTCTTCTCTCAACCTGAGACCCCTGTGAACACAGTCACAGAAGATGATTTCCCAAAAGCAGAAGACAAGACAATTTAAAAAAGCATTTTAATGCCCACGCTGCCAGAGCTGAAAAACCCTTTCACAGGGGAGCTGTGAACACCCTGCATCTCCATGAAGGGTGAATCAAATCCACAATGTCATGCAGGCTCATATATGGCAAAAGCTTTCCATTTTGAAAAATTCGGAGCTTTCCTCAGCCTGTTCTCTTAAACACCTAGTAGGCAAGGGGAAAATGGAGCCCAAAATAACGCCCTAGCAAAGTGATGAGCAGCAAAGCAAAGAGCCAAAGGACTCCCATTTCCCTTGAACACCTTTCACAGCTGCATCCTGTGAAAGGTGTTCAACCTCCCAGGAGGTTTCCTGAGCACTTGGCTGAGGCAGCAGCTGGTGCTGCCCTCTCCCCTCCATTCCCATCAGTATCCCAATGTGCAGCCTTGCAGGGCGCTTCCATTGGGTTTGGCTGACCACAGGTGAGCAGGGGAATCAACTTCCCAGCCAGCAGACCAGGTGGTAAATACATGGCACGCACAGTACTTAATTTGTAACTTTGATGATGTATTAGGGGCTAAAATAGAGGGAAACTCATGGGTTCCAAAGATAAGGGATGCTCTCCCTCCTGTGCCTGGGGGAGGCTCTGCTCCACATTGTTCCTGCCAGCAGATGGAGCAGGGCTGGCACAGGAAGGGTGAGCAGCAGCAGCGGGAGCCTCCCTGCCTCCACCCACGCCTGCCCCTCTCCAGGAGCTTCTCCTGAACTAGCCAGGCTCCCCTTTCCTGCAGAAGGTTTCTCGTTCCCTTTCCTGGCCAGCAGATCCATCCCAAAGGTCTCTCCCGATGAAGGAAAGCTCTCTGCAGTGATGCCTGCAGAGAGCTGAATACAGCAATGAGGGCTGATGAATATAAAAGCATCTCTCTCTCCTTCTCCACTGGTGTCTGCATGTCCATGCTCACATGTCCACAGCAGGTCACAGAGTGTGGCCTCTCACATGTCCACAGTAGAACACGGAGTGTGGCCTCTCACATGTCCACTGTATCCACAGACTGTGGCCTCTCATATGTCCACAGTATCCACAGAGTGTGGCCTCTCACATGTCCACAGTAGAACACAGAGTGTGGCCTCTCATATGTCCACAGTATCCACAGAGTGTGGCCTCTCACATGTCCACAGTAGAACACAGAGTGTGGCCTCTCATATGTCCACAGTATCCACAGAGTGTGGCCTCTCACATGTCCACAGTAGAACACAGAGTGTGGCCTCTCACATGTCCACTGTATCCACAAAGTGTGACCTACTGTGGCCTACCCTGAGTAGACAGAGACCTTCTACACACCCGTGCCCACCTTCCCTTTCTCCTGCACGGGTTCAGTGTCGTTGTCTCCAGCTGACAGAAGGGTTATTTTCCACTCCTGTGTTCCTGCTGAGTCTAAGCCAGGCACAACATGAAAGATGGATATGCTCATGTCGGGTCAGCAAATTAAACCTAGTGAGCTAAGAATAACCAGATTCCAAAGGTGAAAAAACAGAGATAGGGTGGAAATGGAGAAGTAGGTTTCCTGCTTAGCCCTGGGGATAGGAATAGATGGGAAAAAAAACCACCATGTAACCCTCTAATTCCCCTTAGAGCCCCTCTCCACCACCAATTCCCCTTACCCTCAACACCCATTTCTTCATTCCTTTAATTTGCTTTTTTGGTCAGATTGTGAGACACAGGTCCTTCTGCAGCTCCCACACATCCTATGTGTTTCAGCCTTTTAAAGTCAGAGATAATCATGGTGGTCCCTTGATAAGCACCCACCAGAGGACATGCAGGTAGCAGGCCTCCTCACCTCCTCATGGCAAAGGTGCCCTTCTGTGCACTTACAGTTAAGACTCAATGCTTATTTTTTCCATAGATAATATATAAATGTATTATATATATATATATGATATAGATATGTAATTATATATATATGTATATATACATATACGATATGTGTATGTGTATGTGGATATATATATATGTATATGGTAAACGCGGACAAAGTGGCTGATCCATGTGTCATTTTATGAATATTGCCCATGCACTGGCTTGAGGAAGGAAAAGCAGGCTCTGATGGGTGGGCAGTGCTCAGTGAGCATTATAATCAGGCAGTTTAATACAGATGTAGTGCTGCTGCTAGGGCATCATTCAGTGCACATGAAGGGACAAAGACACAGCAAAATATACAAAATAAATACTTTCTGGCTGGCAATGGGAGACATTTGCAGGTAACTCCCATATCTACGTCACATTCTTCCTTTTTTTGCCTTTTGGTCTTCATTATTCTCCTTTTTTGAATCAGTTCATTCTTTCTCAAGAGTTGGAATATTTTGTTCTTCTCTTTTTTTTATTGTTGTTAAAAAGCATCTCTTTTGTTTATGTCACTTATATGAGCTTCACCATCATTAATTAAGACATCACCTAGTGTTATGCCCACAGGGGAAAGGCCAAGCTTTGTAAATGGAAAAGTACATCAGTGTCTCATTTGCTTTATAATAATCTACACATCTGAAGCCAAATGGTGGTTGTGTAGCCTTGGTATGTTCCAAAACTGCCATTATGGTGTAATTTATTTAAATCTGTTATAGAATAAAACAGAGATGATTGAAAATCCTAAAGCTCATACCTGAGAAAGGACACCAAGAAATCAGCATGGATTGTACTCTTTCTTACACTTTTTTAGTGGCAGAAAGATATTTTCTTGCAGAAAATGCCTTTGATGTAGATGTTTGAGTGATCTGCTACATTGACAGTAAAGAATAATATTTTATAAGGGTTTTATGGGGTAATAAAAGTCCAAGGTGGCCAAGTTTCCTAACAGAAAAAGCAAAATATCTCAGGGGTTGCACCATCTGCACCAGAGTGACCCCAGACTAACTCACTGTGAATGAGCATGTCTCTGTGTGTGTGTGTGTACACGTGTGTGTGTGTGTGCACTTCAGAGGGACATTCTTTGCTTCAGTTCCATTATAATTCCTTTAAATATTTATTACTGGAATGTAAATCCTGCTGAAAACTGAGGCCTCTGCTCTGGAAAAAATAGACCATCACCTACCACGGATGTTGTCACTCCAGTGAAATAGCCAAGTCCCTTTTGGAGAAACAAAAGGATTTGGTTATATAAACAAGTCAGTGCACTGAATTATAAGAGTGGGGGAAAAAAAAGAGCAAAAACCTGCTGACTGCTGGTTGAACTACTCCTTGGCTACGTGTGAACTGAGGTTGTGCAGATCTAGCAAAAGCAGGAGCAATATTAAAATGAATTGGTTACTAATAGTGGAAATAGTCCAGCAAGCACATTTACAATATCCAGCACTAAGGATGGCTTTGTTTTCAGATTGGTGTGTCTTTATTTTCAATGTAAAGCATTAATAAGCTTCTTAAGGAGATTGGGGATGGGAGAAAACATTGGCTGATCACTTCAAATCCCAGGAAAATAAAAAAGTTCTCAGGTTGCTGCATGAAATTACAAATTGGAACAGGTTTATACTTCTTGCAGTGCTATGAAAGCTTTACTTCTAGATCATTTCCAGACACCAGAAAGTTACTAAAATTCACAAAAGGAAAAGAAATTCTACATTTGTATGAGTTTTAAAACTTATTTTGGGACTTCAGCTTGATACCAGTGTATAGGAGAATAAACCTGTAATGTGAAAAAGCTAGTCAAAAAGAGGAACCAAGGACCAGTTTAGCACTATAAACACTTGGGAAGGGATTAATCAAATAATATTTGGGGTTACATTTTATTCTGAAGGGTCAAAACTGGACCAGACTGCTGTGGAGAGTACCAGCACTTAGGCTCAGGTATTTGTATCACTTTAAACCCTACTGTCATTTCAAGGATATAAATGAAAATCAGATTATTGGAAGGATTAAATTGGGATCAGTGTCAGTAATAATCTATTCCTTTGTGGTGACACCAATTGAAATGGGGAAAGTTTGGGGGAGGGGAGTGACACTATACAACATTGCCTATGGATTGTGTGGGAATGAGGAATACAAACAAGGGGAAGGAGGGTTAAATAGCACAGCTCTCATGTGCCCAACAGGCAGGGTATGCATAGGCCAGAGAAATCCTCCCTGGAAACAGCATTGCCCAAAGACACTGCCTCACCAAAGGCCAGTAATGGTGATGGAGTGCCAAAACACATCAGTCTTCCTAGTTTGTCAAGCTAATAAAGTCTCTGGGTGCTTCCACACTCCCAGTCCCACCACCCAGCATGCTCTAAGAGCCACAAAATCATAGAGGAATTACAAAGGAACTTTATTTCCTTTTTTTTTTTCCAATCACACTGCCCTCATCTTTTCCCTACAGTGTCACTCCAGTTATCTCCTAACTGGAAGAAATGGCAGCAGGTACCTGGCTGCCCTGTCTCTGAGGATTCTGAATTATCACAGGCAGAGGAATGTCCTTTGGTCTCCAAGCAGCAGCCCCTCCATCACCAGCCCAGTGCCATTACCCCATCCAGCCATCCCCAACTGCAATCCATGCAAGTGCTGCCTACATCAGAGCTAAGTGAGCAGCAACTGGCCCAGGTTCTTTATCATTGTCCAAAATACATTTCTACAAGTACCATCAAATTTACTTGGCTCATTTGCATCCGGAATTAATTTGATAGTGGTGACTTTATTTTGGTGACAAATTGCCCACTGGATTTTCTTTCAACCAGAGTCGTGTCAGCAAGATACAGAAGGTACCTTGTGGTGGTTGAGCAAAGAATGCATATTTAGATTTGTTTCTCATGTTGTCTTACAGAGAAAGTTCAAGACTGGGTTTTCACTCTGGGGTTCTCTGAGTGAAATCCTGCCTCCCTGATAAGCCATTTTCTGCTTAATCTGAAGATGATTAGAGGGCTGGAACACCTCTTCCATGAGGAAAGGCTGAGAGAAATGGGGCTGTTCAACTATCCAGTCCAAGAGAGGGCTCCTGGGACACCTCATAGTGGCCTTCCAGTACCTGAAAGGGGCTTGTAAGAATGAGGGAGACTGAGTTTTTAGTAGGGACAACAGGGCAAGGAGTAAGGGTTTTAAATTATAAAAGTGTAGATTCAGACTTGATAAAGAGAAGAAATTTTTTACAATGAAGGTGGTGAAACACTAGTACAGGTTGCCCAGGGAGGGTGATAGAGGCCCCATTCCTGGAAGCATTCAAGGTTAGGCTGGACAGGTCTCTGGCAACATTATCTAGATGAAAATGTCCCTTTCTGTGGGAGGGGAGTTGAAGCAGATGATGTTTAAAGGTGCCTTCCAACACATGGCATTCCATGATTCTACGGGAAAGGGTATTTCCCTGGACAGGAGTCTTTATCCTTCCACTGACCACTGAGTGGACAGTGCTGGGAGACTGGTGCATCTCAGGTCTTGGAGCAGGTTTCTGTAAATACACCTGACTATAAGCAAGATAGTGCTGAGAAGAAAGGAGTGCAATGTTTCTTGGAGTAAATAATGTTTCACTTATACTGCCCTGTAGCAGGAGCAAAAATCATAGGGTGGGCAATTCCCATCACTGTTCCCAGGTGCTTTTCCAAAAGTTTGCTTTAACTCTGTACAGAATGAATTATTTGAGTTTTTTTACTGTTTAAGAAGAAATGGTTGATATTTGGAATTGTGCATTTATAGCTTTGTCCCTTCAGAGGCTTCCTCGTAAAAGCGGTTCTTTTCACATTTCCCACTCGATTTTTTTTTTCAAATATGCATTTAAATTTCTTCCTCTGTTTCTTTAGATGTGAAATGCAAGCCTCTGCATCTACAAAAAAGCTCACGCGCTTCTCTTTTCTTTCAGTCTTTCAGCTTCCCACTTTTACTTCTGCTCAGTTAATTACTCACTTATAATTTTTTCCCTCTTTATTTACATGGGCATGTATTTTCCCATATGGGAAGCTGCTGCCTGGTCCTTGGGAGCCAGTGTAACCTGACTCCAGCCCTGCTGGCTCTCTCTGAACCCTCTGGCGTCACAGAGAGCTCCCAGCAATGCAGGGGTAGGATCAGTGCCTTGCTTGGCACTTGAGCACTGGGTGCTGGGTGCCCATTCCCTGTTTGCCAGGTGCACCCAAGCATCTGGAAATGCTCCATCATCCCAAAAGAGCTCAGATGGGGAATGAGGCCGGAAAACCCCGTGTGGGCAAAGCAGGAGGGGCATGAGGGACTTGGGAGGGTGAGGAAGGGGAGGGCATCCCAAGCATTGCAGCCTCCATCCCTTTATCTCCCTCCTCCATCCCTTCATCTCCCTCTCAGGGTCTCTAGCTGGTCAGAGTCTCTTTTCCCAGCCCAGCACTTGAAGAATGAGTCTGAGCTCTTCATTTCTCAGTCTCAAGGTGGTTTATTGTATCTTATCTGTAAAATTCTTTCTCCTGTCCTGCTGGGGTCAGCACAGCAAGACAGTCCAAGGTGCCCTGCCTGCCCCTGGGTGGTGTTATGTCTTTGTACTAAAAACTACGTATATAATATATACGTATAAGTAATATATACAATTACTTCCCAATACCTATCACCTATGTTAGACAGTGAGCTTCTACTTTAAACCAATCTGTAAGTGCCAACATCAAAGCAGAAGATGGAGGCCAAGAAGAAGAAGAAGGAGAAAGGCTGGACATGCCCAGATCCCTCCATCTTGCCCCCCTGAATCTCCACTCTAAAAACTCCAAAATATACTTTTTCAGCTTGTGATAAATTCATTATCATTCTACTTAAACTGCTGTGGCTTGCAGATCTTCATCTAAGGTTGGTAACTTGCTCTATGGGTCATAATCAAACCCACACAGGCATCTTGGGCTCTGTGCCAGGGGCTCTGAGCCCCCTGGCAGGGCTCTTGGCTGCTCAGGACAGCCAGAGGGATGTTCTGGGTCCTGACATCCCTCCTCCATCCCTTCATCTCCCTCTGCCTGAGGAAGCCAGGCTGGCAGCAATGGCACTTTGTGCTTCAAAGGGCCCCGACAAGCACGTCACTGCTATTTGTGTAATGGGCTGAAATTCTTGAGTGAGCAGTGGTACATAAAGGAAAAGTCTCAGCATAATTACTGATCCTTACAGCTTTTCATTCCTGAAAATTTGAGGGTAAGGAAATAGCTGTAAGGGTAAGTAGGAGATAAATGTTGGTTCATGGCACATTCCTTATTTAAACATTTTCAACATGTCCCAGGGTTGCTGTCCCATAGGCAGGGCTTACCAAGGGTGCAGTTCTTTTCCTCTTCATCTCTAAATCACCAAGCTTTCTCCTTGGACATCAATTAGAACCATCAGAGCTGATTAAAAAAATAAAAAATTACACAGATCTATCAAAATTTCCTTTTTTTTTTTTTGTTTTATTTTTACATTTTAAAAACTGGTTTTGAACACTTCTTTCTTGAGGTTGTGAGAAAATTTCCCTTTAGCCTCCCACAATCAAGTAATAACAGAAACAAAACACACATCCCCTTCTATATCCACATTAAAGAAATTTATGTCTGTCCCACTTAAGAGCTAGCTGCTACCGTGACCTGCATTTTTTTCATGTCATCTCCACTTTCTTGTGGGTTCATATTCATTTCTCTGTAGTGGTAGAAATGGAGTTCCAGGCATGTGTTTTTCTCAGAATCAGGCTGAGACTGAATCTCCGGCCACGGCTTTGGTCAAGTTTGGTCAAAGGGTTGAGTTGGTCTGAGAAGCAAAGTGTCTCTTTAGTGCCAGTAGCCAGAAGAAATTCTTCCCATTAATGCCAGCCAGGCTCCATGGCAGTTTCTTTCTCCAAAGAGATCAAAGCTTTCCATGCTGTCTGACTGGGACACCTTCTGTGACCCTGCACAGGCTGGGAAGCAGCACCCCAATTGATTTCTGCTCTCCCAGTTGACACAGTTTGCTGGATTTTGGAAAAACATTCTATGGAAAAGAGTTCAGCAGCAGCTGGTGTGAGGCCACAGGCTCTGTGGGCTCTGCTCCCAGTGCTATCAGTCACAGAGCTGGTGCCATGGCCAGCATGAGGGATGGAGCAGGATGTGATCTGAGATGGAGCCAGGGGTACCAGGGGTGCCAGGTACAGCTCACAGGCCAGAGCTGCTCCACAGCAAAGCACAAACCTCCCTTCTCTTCAGGTGCCTGCATGTGAGCATGAGCCAGAGGACAAAGTCTCCACAGTCTCCCACTGTGGGTGGGAAGAGCAGAGTCCACCTTCCATAACTTGCCTGCTTATCTCAATATTGTGCCTGGCACCACGGTGCTGTAGTGATTGCAACCCCATAAATACCCATGGCAGATAGTAATTAGCACCCCATACATACCATCCACACATGGTCTTGCCACTAGGAAGTACGAACGAGTTTTTCATACCCAACTGGCTGAGCAAGCTGGAAGGTGAAAATAACAGGGAGATTTTAAAAAACCCTGTTTGAAAACAAAGATCTTCCTTTGGAGTCAAACTTTTTAATGAAAACAAAGCTTAAACCAGCAGCCTTGTACAAGTAGCCTTTGGCTCCAAAATGCCCTAAGTCAGTATATATGTGGCTGATAAAAGAGTAGTTGATTGATTCATTACAGCCAAAGGCTCAGCTCCTAGGAATGCATGGTGCTTAATATTTTTCCTGGGATCTCTTTGATCTCTGCTGGAGGTTGAGGAGCAGGCTCCAAATTATAAAGTATTTTTGGAATTATATTGAGACCATTCTTCAGAAAAGTCACCTTCAAGTCTCCAAGATTCTCTCTGGAGACACAGGGATGGTGGAAAACTTCGTGACAATTTTATCTGAGGAAAAGGAATATGACCAGTCTTAAAGGAATGGTAATCCAATCACATTTGGACAGACACTTGAATGTGGACCTAGGACCTAAAGTTTTCTTCGCATAAAACTTAAAGCACAAGTTTCTCTGAAGGTATGTGGAAGCAATAATAGATTTACAAATCTCTGTAGATCAGCTAGAGGAAGACAGGCATCCTACAAAAGGCACATGGGAGAAACTCACCATTTAATTCAGTGTGTTGAATTCCACAGTGTGTTAAATTTGGGTTAACAGAATGCAAGAGAGGCATGGCATCTGCTCTCTACCATTCCCCCTCTAGACAGAGCCCTTCCCCTCCCCTCTTGTACCTTAGAGCCCATCGTGTCTTTCACTTTTTCCTGTCTGCCAGGTCCTGGCCACATTTGCCAGGCTGCAGGAGAGCTCCTGCTGTCAGAGCAGTGGCTGAGAGTCTGCTGGAGCCTGGGGGTCTCCTCATCACAGAAAATGGTCAGCAGGACTGGAACCTTCAGTTCAGTATCTGACAAGTGCTCTGGCAAAGCAAGGCACAGAACAAGGAAACCTCCTTCAGCATAACTCTAATAACCTCCTCCACAATATTATAGGAACAGAAGACTCTACATTCACTGACTACATTTACCCGAGCATTACAAAATATTAAATAGCATATTTAGCAAAACAAGAGCTTTCAGGTATTCTCTTTGGTAAGGCAATTGTCAAGGGCAGAGCTGCATGTCGAGTTTGTATCTGCCTTGAAACCTCCACTGACTTAATTAGGGTAAAATGCATGAAGTGTAGTCATTATAATCTGCTTTGCAATGACACAAACATATGAAAGCCATGTTCATATGACAGGAGTGTCCAGATTTTGCATCCAAGCCCTTGACAAGATTTGGAGGGGAGAATAAGGAAGGAGGGGAGAAGGGAAGATGGTAAGAATTGCTGAGCTGATATTTCTAAAACCCTTGGAAACAGCCGCTAAGTCTTTCGCTGCCTCCACCCTTCCCAGTAGTCTCATTATGGTAAGTAATGTTGCACTTATTTGAAAACTCAGGTTTTCATGAGGCTGCCTGTGCAGGGGAGCCAGCAGCACCAGTGGTGCTGAAGATCTCTGCTCCCAAATGCTGAACCCCAGCTCTCGTGGCCCTTCGGCTCCCAGGAGCATCTCTGTTTTCAGGGAGCGGCTTGAACTTCTGCCTTAAAGTAAAAGCATATCATGACAGATACTCTAATCACAATGTCTAAATATAATACAGGGGAAGACAATTCAAGAGAGCTCAGCTACGCTTTTTAAAGCAACTGTCAGGAAACTGACTCTGTGGCTTGCTGCTTTAGAGTAAGATTAAATGAATCAGTCTCACCATTTGAATGCGTGGGAAGTCAGAGACAGCAAAGTGACAACTAAGGACAGTTTATTTATAATTGGGCCCTCCTTCTATGGTTGTTTGTGCACAAGGCCTGTGCACTGAGTACAAAAGTACCTGCCCTTTATGTAAAATTACTCACAAGTGCTACCTGTATGTCAGGTAGATGGCAATGCTGGTTTGGCTGATTACAAAGTTCATGTAATTATTGAACCATCTGGTGATGTTTGGGGAAAGAATACAGCTTATTATGCAGCAGCTTCAAAAGGCTCTGATTCCATGGTCCTTCAGCCAGGAGTCTTTCACAACAAGGAAGAGTCTGGGCTGGGAATTGCTGCCAGGAGATGTCTGGAGGGATGGCATGGGGACTGAGGCACTGTCAGTGCAGCCAGGGCAGGTCTGTGAGGGCAGGAGGGTGACACCAAGGCAGCATTGGTGGATGCTTTATGAGCAGGGAGCTTTGACATTTAAGCTGCAGATCCCCACTCCTTGGGCTAAAACTCTTCTGACTTTAACCCAGGTTTCCAAAACAAGGCTTACCACTGAGGGTCAAGAGTGCTGTAGCTACAGATGCAGTCATGAGATTGGGAGAAATTCAGTAGTTTATGGTACTGTCTGAATAATTAGCCCAAGTGGAGAAGCATCACAAAGAGAAATGGGAAGGAAATGCCAAAGGAAAAAAAAGGTGGGTTTCTCATCTCTACCTCCTCAGGATGTGGTCCTCATCTTTTAAAGTGTCCTTCTGAGTGAGTGAAAGGCAAAATGCACAAATCTGAGATAAAGCTGCTGAGAGAAGTAGCAGGGAGTGGCTGAGTCCCTTGGAAAAAGTGCAGCATTGCTCTTTGTCCAGCCTCCAGGTGGAAAAGTCAATGGAATGAAGCTGACCTCAAGCTTTTATTCCTCCCCACTTTGGCAGGCTTTAATCTATAGCATCAGCCTGCACCCCTAACTGGGAAATATTATTAAAATGACATTAAATATTAAGAGAGACAACACAGCATCTCTCGCGGTGAGGGAGCTCCTGACACAGCAATCTCTTCCTAATAAACTGCCTTGACAAACAATTTACTTATGTTCTTATTTCAATTAGATGAGCTACAGTGCAGCAGTAAGGGTGAGTGTGGCTGGGTGTTATTTTGAGAAGTAGTAAATATTTATTCCTCTCTCTCTCTCTGTGGAAGAGGGTGGGCAGCAGGGTTGCAAGACAAGACCTCATGATCACAATTTTTAAAGCTGGGATAGTCACAGGCTGTGACTAACCAGCAAGGCACAATGCTTTTGTGTCAAACTTTCACCAGTAGCTTGGCTTTTGGTACAGCATTTACAGTGGTGGACAGCATGGCCAGGTTTGGCTCTCATAGAGATCTGGGCTGGGAAAAGGGATAATATCCAGTGCATGGCCAAATAAGTGTAAATGCTAGAAGAGTTTTCTACCCCTGGCCAGAAGGATCCCACCAAGCTCAGGGCTGTGTTGTGGCTGGCACTGCCTGTACCAAATGCACTCCTTGGCCCACAGAGTCCCCAGATCCATGGTCAGGTCATGGGCTCAGACTTCCAGGTGAGCAAGGGAGGGGTGCAAGGACAGGGGAAGGACTGCTGGAAGGAACTCAGAAATTCAGAGCAAAGAAAATCTCCATCTCTGCTTTCTTGGAAACTTTGCCTGCAACTTCAAATATTTTCTGGAAGTGGACACGTGTGCTTGTCTTTGAAACACTGCTGGTCTGATGGCCATTTTGGGAAGAGGGATAAAAATGTTTGACTTTGGAAAAGCAGCTGCTTTCCAGAAAATCCCTTGAGTCTCCGCACATCGCACAGGTTGGAAGCCACGAGATTTCTGTCAGCACATCCCTGCTTCTCCCTGAAGTATAGCACAGAGGATCAGCTCTGGCAAAGTGCCACAGAAAATTTTATTACTTTATGGTCACTGTGTTTGTTTTAGAAGGCCTGACCAAAATTTTTACCTCAGTCTGTATAATTTTTTTCCTATATAATAAAATATCTCTTTGAAAAGGCTTTTTCAGAGGCTAAAGAGTAGAGGGAAATCCCTTCCCTTGTTGCTGAAGCCATGTCTGAGATGAATTATAGCTGCTCTTCACTGGAAAGGCCATGCAATGGGATTTTTGAGGTGGAGAGTGAAGTGGAATAAATAAAGCTGAGCAGTGAGGTGGGGTACATGAGTGGGCCAGGCAGGCATTGCCAAGTGGGAATTTGGCTTGTAAATCATCCTGTTAATAACTCTATAGAGCCTGTAATGATAGGGAACCTCACCTAATGCCTCATCAAAAAGTCAACACACTTTGCAGAATGGGGCATCCCTCATACAATCCCCTACAGCACTTTACAGAGTGAATCACAGCCTTGTATGGAACTTTTTATATGTGTTGCCCTTCTAATCTGAAATAGTCCCTTCCTTTCCCTTTGACTGGAGTTTGGGAATGGATTTTAAATGGGCATTAGTTATAAAATTTCAGATCCAGAAGCAGAGAATTGGGAGTGCAAGATGATTCACCACATGCGCATCCACATCCCTACAGAAATGAAGTCTGGAGAATGTGTTTTAAGAGGCTGAGCCAAACTGTCCACTGGGTGCTTGCACATGTGTCCAGGGCCATCACAGCATCACCAGTTCCAGCAGAGCCACACAGGCTGGCAGGAGCTCAGGCTCTGCCCACGGGGCCCTGCTGATGCCACTGGCCATCAAAAAGGTTAAGTTGGTGCTGGCAGAGACTGTCCCTCCCTTGGAAATGGCACTTTCACTTTCAGTAAGACAGAGAGCGTGAGCCAAAGTTTAGGGATACACTGATGGTTTCACCAAAGGGGGATGAGGAATTGCAAAGGAAAAACAGAGATAATTTGAAAAATTTCCTGTTTAAAAATTTGAAAAAAAGTACTGGGGGACAAAAAATTATGGAAATAACTTTGTTTTTAGCAGGATACAAGGACTACATTTAATTTTTTGTTGTGTAGAATGGGATTTTTTTTTCCTTGCTCCAAGTGTACCTTTTAATACAGCTTTAGAGGGGGAATAATTAACAAAGCCTGCATCACAAATGTGGTGCTCTCAGGAGCTAGGTACTGATGTGCCCTTTCCCACTGAGCAGAGGTAAGCAGGAGGGTTTCCAGTGAGCTCTGGGAAGCAGGAATCTCTCAGGAATTTCTCAGCGCAGCAAATGCACCAGTAGGTGCTATTGGTGATTTTCACCAGAAGGATTTTCTTCTGTGAGTTTTTCTCCCTTCCAGCCAAGGAC